AATATTTACTCTTAAAACATGCTTGACATTTTCCTTACCTAACTCAATTAACCAGGCAACTATCTTTTTATGCGTATAGTTTGATATTTAGACACTTAGGTTCCCTTCAAATTCAACAAATGATTCAAAGTGAATCACTTCATTTAAACATATTGTGTACTTTTCTGTCTAGTGTGATACACACTATATTATATACAAGAAATTTAATCATGATTCATTTGATACTAAAATTAAAATTCTTTAAATATTCATTTCCCTAAATGCATGTCTATATTTTTGATATCTTCAAACCAATAGGAATAAATCAGCAAAACAGTACTTGAGGAAAAACTGTCCTTCAAATGAATAAACTGGGATACATGTTTCATAACCATCAATAATAACAATAAATACTACCTATGATTTAAATTTTCTCCTTTGGAAAAAAACCAGTATTTCGTTTCCTATCACTGCACTCGATCTATTCTGCTTTTAGATTTAGTTTAAAATTTTCATTCATAAATAGTCAGTAATTTCAAGAGCTATCTATGACCCTCCTTCACCAAAGAGACAACTACTATAGCTTTTTTTCTTTTAAAATACTTTTCTCCTATTATTTTATAGTCTACAAAATTTTCAGATTTTTGTCCTCATACTTGTAATAACATATTGCTAGGACTAAACGAAAACTGTAGTACTCATGAAAATAAGTGAGAAAAACACATCTTACCTTAGGTGTTTCATCTTCATTCTGGGAAAATAAAAGAGATAAACCAGAAACAAGATATTATTATTTTATTTTTATATAAGAAATATTATGTAACATTCTTTAAATAAAATGAGTCCCTGAGATTAACAATTCTACTTCACAACTAAAATCAATGTTAATTTCATTAAAAATAAATATTCACATGTGATTATGATTGTTATATTTTTATTAATAATATTAGTAACAACATAATAATAATTTTTAAAAAGTCACCTCATTTTCATAGTCACTGACATCTTGGGACTGGACTATAAAAACACATAATAGTAGCAGTAATAGATGTTTCATGATTTAAAATTTTTGGAAGTTCCAAGAAACCGTCCTTTGCTTGTGGACTTAACTGAGAGATCTTCAATCTTATATATACTTGAATCTTCTGTTAGATATGACTTTAGAAATGGTTACCTTCCTTAGTTAATATTTAATTTTTTGATTCACCTGTTGGCTGAACCGTTTTATCACTTGAGTAACATTTTCCCAGCAAGACTTATTTACTTGTCAACCAACTATTCTCTGTTGGCCGAATTTGGAAACACTGAAGTTCTTCAATCCATTCAATTGGACAATATGATAAGAAATTAGGACATTCTTAAAGATATGTGTATCACATTTCCTGTAAATTAATGTGGATGGTGCAAAGGCTTAAAAATAATGTGTGAAGAAAGAAATATTTTTAACCCAAGCGCATAACATTGGACCTACTCACAAGGCAACCACTAACATTGTCGGCTCACTGAAGGTGTACCACAAAGGCCATGGTTTGAGGTAATCATGTAATTCGGTTTTTGAAAAGGTCATTAAAATAAAGAATAATGTTATATCACCATGTGTTTATCCTCTTGCAGACATTAATCAGAACAACAAAATTACAATTCATGCCTTATTTTATGATAGACAAACATCAAAAGAAAGTGGTCTTTTTTTGCTTTGACAGTGTTTCATATTTTGTCCTTTATTAATATTAAGTTAAAATGTTCAACAAATTTTAAACATTATTAAAATAATTAGTAGATTATAGATTCCTAAATCAAAATCATTATTATGGTGATTGAGTACATACCTAACACTTTATTTTTATATTATATAATATATATTGTATTGTTTATAGAACAATGTTATTTTAACATTAGTGAAGTCTTTATGCATCTATTTCAAATATAAGCTCAGACACTAACGTTGGTCCATTTCTTTTCATCATTTCCTATAAGCCAATAAATCCATCTATCTCATCTTTTCATTCATTTGTTGCAATCAGGATTAACAACTCCTATAAGAATTAATAGGGAGACCAAAATCAACAACACATATCCCAGCAAGTGTGCTGCTTTATAGCATTTTCTGTTGTTTGTTTGTTTGTTTGTTTTTATGGAAGGTGAAACATTCTTATTAAAAATTTTTCAATATTTTATTTTAAAGATAGTGAGTTATCCAGGTTGGATCAGAAGAATATATTTGAAACTGCTTTGAATCAGACTCTTGATAATGGTATGAGACCCTCTAAATTTTTTTCTTCTCTTGGTAAGATAGATTGCATTCCCAAATTCTTTTCATTCGGATCTATAGAAGCAAAGTATTATGTTTAAATTAAGTAAAATAATTGGATTTTTCTATGTTTATGTCTCATTTATTAGTACTGAGTTAATTCTGTACTTTAAGATTAGTTCAGTGTTAATTTTTCTTAGTGAGCACACAATCTGACTGAAAAAGGAAAGGTGTGTATATGTGTGCATATTAATTAAATTAAGGTGCAAGAATACTTCCCTTCAAAGTGTAACTGAGAAAAAATTTAATAATCTAAGCAGTGTTTTATTTAATGATGTCAGATTCCTATTGATTTAAAAAGACTGACTAATATATACCAATTTTATTTCAATAAAAATAAAAATAAATAAAATAAAAAGACTATGTTAAATAGACTAAAACAATTTTTTTTCTTTTGGGATAACATTATCATATTATTACTTCATTTCAAGCACTGACATTTCATCAAGTAGCAATAGAACCATTATTTAATTTCCAGAAGTTTGTTAATTTTAAAATTTCTTCTAGCATATTATAGAATCAAGTATAACATTAAAACGAAAACCCCTTTACATTTTCACTTTTTTATACTCTGCCTGGCATTCTTGCCATCATCATTAAGGAAGTGGGAGGAAACTACTAGAATGGAAGAGCAGAGACTTAACATTCATTCTACAAATAGTTCCTGAGAGCCTCCTATGTGACAGGTAGTATGCTTGGTGCTGGGGAAACACTAGTGAGCAAGATAGATGTAGCAATCATTTGATAAAAATTGTCGAATGAATGAGTTCACTAGCCGTCATTGAAACATGCCTCAGAGGCCAACCTCTGATAGTGGTTTATTTGATTTAATTTTTGAAGCCACTGTGTTATACAGATGATGAAATGAGGCTAGGTGAGGTTAAGTACACTACCCAAGGTATTAAGTACTAGTACCAGGACTTGACCCAGGCCTGTCTGATCCTACAGTCCATGCACTATGCCCGTTACACCATATTGCCTAACAAAGTACAAACATTATAAAGAATTTACTGGTATCTTTTAAGTTTGTTTGTCGTTGTTGTTTTGGCTAGCTCATTGTCTTGAGACCATAGTGTCTCAGACTGGCACACTCATTCTTAGCCTTTATTTTCACTTACATTTCACTCTCCTGTAACGGTATGGGTGTGAATATTCACATCCATGTGAGAGGCATGGCCGATGCAGTAATAATAACTGAGTTTTTTTAAGTTCTAGTTCTTGTTAGATATTTTTTCCTATAGAGTTATAAACAGCTGCATTAACACACTAACGTGCTTAATATTACAAAGTAAATTACCATGTTTTCAAAAAGAATGACTATATTTGCAGAGATTTCGCTTGCTAAAGTACTTAATTTCTTTAAAACATTGATGCCATTGGTGGAGGAAGAAGGGAGTACTATTTGTTCAGTTATGTTTTCAGGTCAATAGTGCATTGCTCTTCATATTTGGGAATACCATTACATAAGCCAAGGACAGTAAATCAGTGACAGAGAAAACATCATTTGGCCTGCCCAGCAGCTGTCTGGCATAAAGGCAGATTTTCGGGCACCAGTTGCCAATGCACTTGTTGATACTTTTACAATTCATGTGAGGACCAGTTTATAGAGCACAAGGCAATTTGTGCTCATGAAATATTTATAAAGCACCTATTTTGTGGCCAGGTAGTATGCTAGGGGCCAAGGACACTCTGGTGACCAGAAGAGGCAAAGTGCCCTGTACTCATGAAGCTTCATGTCTAGAGGGTAAAGGGAGCCAGCTTTTGTCACCCTAAAGCTGCCTTTTGGGATATAGATTTTAAGCTGGTTATTAAGAAATAAAAGACTCAGAAAGAACATTTCCCCCGACCCTGCCCCATCTCTTTCTCTCACACACACACACACACACACACACACACACACACACACACGCATGCACACCCTTTGCTAAGATGTTTATAACTGACAGTGCAGCTTCATTATGTTCCAGGCCTTCCTAGGCATTAACTGGAATAGCTCCCTGTCTCCTGTTGTCGCAGAAGCTTTCCTCTCACCTGTGTTACCAGAAAACACCCACCCACTAACACTACCTCAGCATTTGGGCCCATTCTTACCTTTGTAATAAACTATTAAAGACCAAACTCCTGGAAGAAACGTCCAAGGATTCTCTTTCCATCTCAGAAACTCCAAAAGAAATGATAACTTTCACCATTCCTTCCCCTTGAATTAGTGATGAATTACAAATCTAAAATTCATGGGACAAAGGACATATGGAGCCGAAAAACTTGAAAGAATATTGTGCATAAAGAGCATAGTGTCTAAAAAAGATTGTTTATTTAACCCTCTAAGCTCAGAGAAATAGAAAGAAGAAACGATAATAGTCATCATTTTTATGAGTATGAAAATCAGAAAACACTTTCTGTAAAAAATCCAATAGGAAGCTGATAAAAATGACACTGAAGTCTACACTTCTGTGACCTACCACTGCTCAAAGGCTAAGGACACAAGTATTTGAAAGAGATAAAGAGATCCCCCCTATTGGTGAGTTTTAAAAAAGCTTAACTAATGAAAGGAGGCCTTTCTTAAAATTTGTACTATTGTTTTCACAGAACAGACATAACGATATTTATATTAATATTTTTCCTGATATAGCTCTACAGGAAAGGGAAACAAAAGAAAATAAAATGGGACTACATCAAACTAAAAAGATTTGGCACAGCGAAGGAAACCCATCAACAAAATGAAAAGACAACTTACCGAATGGAAGAAGATATTTGCCAATAATTCATCTGATAAAGGGTTAAGGGCTTAATAATTTATAAAGAACTCATACAACTCAACACCCAAAAACCAAATACTCCTTTTAAAAAATGGGCAGAGGACCTAAATATACAGATATTTCTCCAAAGAGGACATACAGATGGTCAGTAGAAATACGAAAAGATGCTCAACATCACTAATCATCAGAGAAGTGCAAATTAAAACCACAATGTGATATCACCTCACACATATCAGAATGGCTATCATCAAAATCAACAAACAGTAAGTATTGGCAAGGATATGGAGAAAAGGGTACCCTTGTGCACTGTTGGTAGGATTGCAAATTGATGCAGCCGCTATGGAAAATAGTATGGAGGTTCCTCAAAAATTTGAAAATAGAACTACCTTATGACTCAGCAATTCCACTTCTGGGTATTTATCCAAAGAAATCCAAAACACTAATTTGAAAAGATATATGTACCCTTATGTTCATTGCAGCATTATATACAATAGCCAGGATATAGACTCAACCTAAGTGCCCACCAATAGGTGATTGGATAAAGAAGAATAGGTGCATGTATACAATGGAATATTAATTAGCCATAAAAAAAGAATGAAATCATATCATTTGAGACAACATGGATGGACCTAGAGGGTATTGTACTAAGTAAAATAAGTCAGACGAGAAAGACAAATGCCATATGATCTCACTTATATGTGGAATCTAAAGAACAAAATAAATGAATAAACAAAACAGAAACAGATTCATAGATAATAGAGAGCAAACTGATGGTTGTCAGAAGGGAGGGGGGGTTTGGAGGGCCAGGTGAAAAAAGTGAAAGGATTAAATACAAATTGGTAGTTACAAAATAGTCACAGAGATGTAAAGTACAGCATAGGTAATAAAGTCAATAATATTGTAATAACTATGTATAGTGCCAGGTGGATACTAGACTAATCCGGAAGACTCGTTTTGTTAATTATATTAAAAATATATTTACAAATAAATTATTCACCATGTATGTGCTTCAGGGAAAAAAAAAATCCTCTTACCCTGTTCAAAGAGCAACAGTGACCCCTACTGCTCAAATAAGGCAGCTCTGGGTGTCAGCCAGGACGAGGATTCTCAACCTTTTCGTAGTGTCCTGGATCCTTTCATGAATCCAAAGAAACCTATAAAACTCCTGCAACAGAATAATAGTCATGTTCTTACATAAACACAAAATTTTTACACAATATAGGTAATTAATGGATCCCTGAGCTAGATAACAGGGTCACTGAGCTTTATCTAAAGCTTTCAAGTGGATAATATAATTCTGTAGATTCAGGAGAGCTTTTTAATAGGAGCATCATCTGGTATAATTTACTTCAATAATTACAATATTTTTATGAGACTGGACTTATATTTTTAGGAAGATTAATAAGCTAATAGACCTAAATTATATTGCCATATCTATATTAGAAGCTTGCTTACGTGT